ATCATGACCTGAGCCAAAGGTAGGCACTTAACTAAGTCACCCAGGAGCCACTGAAGTTTATTTTAATAGTATACTTTATTTAGCCACATCTATTTAAATCTGTCATTTCAGCATGTAATCAGAATAAAAGTAATGAGATACTTTATCCTTCTTTCATACTAAGTCACCAAAATCTGGCATGTATTCTTACAGCATAACTTAATTCAGACTAGCCACATGTGGCTAGTAGTTGCTGTATTGGGCAACATAATTATAGCTATTTTAGTAGGTATACAGTGGTAATTGGGGTTTTAATTTGCATTTTCCTGATAACTAAATGATGTTGAGTATGTTTTCATGTACTTCTTGGTCATTTGTATATCTTCTATTGTATAGCATCTGTTCAAATGTCCGGCAACAGGAAAATGGATATACAAATTGTGGCACACTCACACAATGAAAATGTACTCTGCAATAACAATGAAAAAAAGAAAAGAAAAGAAAACTACTGATTCATGCAATAACCTGGATGACTCTCAAATATTATGCTGAGTGAACATAGCCAGACCCGAAAGAATACATCTGAAGTAATTCCACGTGCATGAAACTTTAGAACAGGCCAACTAATCAAGAAAGAAAGCAGATCAGTGGTTATAATAGGGGTGTGTGAATGATTGCAGAATTGTGTGAGAAAACTTTGTAGAGTGATGGAAATGCTTTGTATCTTGGAGTGGTGATCACGTAGATATATACATTTGCCAAAATTTATTGAGCTGTACATCTAAAATGGGTGCATGATATTGTATGTAAACTATACTCCAGTACAGTTGATTTAGAGTAAAAGCAATATGTGTTAGTAGTACCCGCTATGTACTTTGCAGGCCCAGTGCAAAGTAAAACTGTGGGGCCCCTTATTTAAAAAGTATTAAGAATTTCAAGACAGTGACAGCAGAGGGAGTTTGTCTGTTATTGAATTCCTGGTAACAGATGGTGCACGGCATATAGAGGGTTCCAATGAAGTTCTGTTGAATGAATTTAAGATCTTACAGCTCAGCAGTTTCCATTTGAGAACAGCCTAATAGTTTTTCCTACTTCTGCTGTTTATTTCATAGACCCGAGGAAAGAGTAGAATACTGAATGCATTTTTTTATTTTACTTTTTTTTAAAGATTTTATTTATTTATTTGAGAGAGAGAATGAGAGAGAGCACGAGAAGGAAGAGGGTCAGAGGGAGAAGCAGACTCCCCGCTGAGCGGGGAGCCCGATGCGGGACTCGATCCTGGACTTCAAGATCATGACCTGAGCCGAAGACAGCAGCCCAACCAACTGAGCCACCCAGGCGCCCATTGAATTTTTTTTTTTTTTTAAATGCTGGTCATAAGTATGATAGAGAAAAATACTGAATAAAAGTTGTTTTATTTTTAAATTTTCTAAAGACGTGAAGAAATATAGCCCAGTCACTAACATGAAGCAAGAACAATTTGGTTGAACAGGTGGAGATTATAGAGGCATCATAAAAAGGAATTTTGTCCTTTAAGTATTCTGTATTGTTAGTCACAAGCTGATTTACAGTGGCAGTGTTACACCTAATCTGGGTCAGGAAACAAGCTAAGTAATGGGGATATATAGAGATAAAACAGGTACATGTAATTATGCAGTGGTTTGTCTTATTAGAAATCGGTTTTAGATCATGTTCCAATTATTAACATTTCTAATATTTTGTTCCACCATAACTCAGTGTACAGAAGATAAAGCAGAATTCTCATGTTTCAGAGCAGGTGGAATAGTAGTTATAAGTATATATAATCCATACTGTCATAGACATTTCATTGGGAGTTTGCTCTAGTGCTTTTTAAGTTAAAATAGTTATTAACAGAGGCACTTGGACTTACTTAAATAATGTGTTATGGACTGATTGTGTCTCCCCCAAGCCCCCCTATTCATATGCTGAAGCTCTAGCCCCCCAGTATGGCTGTATTTGGAATAAGGAAGTAATTAAGGTTAAATGAGGTCATAAGGTTAGAAACCTGATGATTAGGATTAGTGTCCTTATAAGAGAGACCAGAGGGCTTGCCTGTTCTCTTGCCTCATGCATGCACCAAGAAAAGCCCATGTGAGGATGCAGTGAGGCCACCATCTGTAAGCCAGGAAGAGTCCTCACCAGAAACTAAAACCTGGGACTTGTAGCCTCCAGAACTATGAAAAGATAGATCTCTCTTGTTTAAGCCACCCAGCCTGGGGTATTTTGTTATGGCAGCCTGAGCTAATACGATATGTAATATTCTATAAAATATTAAAAAATATAAAATATGCATAATCTGATTCAAATAAAGTGACTAATATAATCAGTTGCATAATGTGGGCAGCCTTGTAGGGTGACAACAGGATTTATGTGTATGTATTGATGGCATGAATTTATGGACCCTAAAAATTTGAAAAATTCGTATGGTAAATTATCCCTAAAGGAAATTTACAGTGATACTACTTTATCACTTACTGTCCTAAACCAAGGAGTATGTTTTTTTAAAAACAAATTTTTTTTTTAAAGATTTTATTTATTTGAGAGAGAGAGAATGAGAGAGAGCACGAGAGGGAAGAGGGTCAGAGGGAGAAGCAGACTCCCTGCCGAGCAGGGAGCCCAATGCAGGACTCGATCCCGGGACTCCAGGATCATGACCTGAGCCGAAAGCAGTCGCTTAACCAACTGAGCCACCCAGGTGCCCTAAAAAATTTTTTATCATGGAGTGGTGATCACATAGATATATACATTTGCCAAAATTTATTGAGCTGTACATCCTTTTTAAAAAGGAAAATTGGGGTTTCAAATGATTAAAGGTATCACTTTAACATATATATATATATATATTTAAAATGCCTGTCCGGTGGCTGAGTGTAACTGTGCCTCTCATACTATTCACCAACTTATTTTAGGAATGAAAGTAGTAAGAGATGAGATGGCAGTGTACTAACAATTGAATAAACAGTTTACTGAAAAAGCCAAAAAAAGTGATTTTATTACACTTGTTTCATTGTATTTCAATGTATAAGATAAAGCAGACTCTCCTGTTTTGGAGCAGGTGGAATGGTAGTTGAAACTGTTTCACTTACTTCACTAAAGCCAAAGTTTTCAAAATAAATTAAGCATGACTGAGTAGCTGGGGAGGAGAAATAACTAAAGAAGTAGCAAGTGATGAGTGAGGTGCTAACAAGCAAGACTGTCCATTTTGGGGGAAGACGGTGGATTGAAAGGGGTATGGTAGTTAATAGGTATTTCCACAGTAATTAAATGTGATATTCTGGGGTGAGACTGCTTGGGTTTGAAGTCTTGCTTTGCCAGTTACAAGCTACATAACTTTATTTCCCATCTAAACCTCAGATTGATCGCTGGAAAAATGGGAAAATAGTAACCATCTTATATGTTAACAGGGATGATTAGTGGCATAATGTACTGTAAGCATTTAGCACAGTACCTGCAACATAATAAATATAAATGCTACCTATGGTATGAATCATGTTATCATTGCTGCTTTTCGAAAGTGACCCTACTAATGTAATTCTAATTTATGTGAATTTGGGTATTTTGAAATAGACGGATATCTAACTCAAAGAGAAAAAAATGGGGAAAGAGGTCAAATTAATTTTTATATTTGCTTATTGCCAAGGCCCTCTTTAGACTCTAACCTGCCTTTCTCAGGCATTCGCCTCTAAGTCTTTGTCCCAAAATTCATCCAAGGAGTCCAATATGTGGGATATGACCGTTTTCCTGATATCCACAGTTACATTATTTGAGGCTATGTATCAGTGAATTTTCAATCTTGCCTACTTGTAGTTTTTCCCATTTGGGTTCACTGTATGGTAACTGTCAGCACGTCCCACTGTCCCACCTTTATTGAGCTCGTCAGATGCATGTGATAAAACTATGGCTCCAGGGCAAGTACACAGATTTCATTCTCACAGGAAAGAAGTTGTATGCTGACATTCTCTTACAAACCCTCCAAAGTTCCGCTTCTCATTTTAAGAAACTCTGCCTTAAATAATCCAATAAAGACATGTCCCAAAAACATTTGGCTCTGCAAAGAGGAAGTAGTTTCGTTGCTCCTGCTATAAGTTGGCAAATGATAGCTAAAGAATTAGAATCAGCAGGGGAAGTAAAATGTCTTGTTATGAGAACTCTCTCTGATAAAGATAGGTATCAAAGGAATTTTAGAAAATTCCTAAGCCAAAGAAATACAGCTGGGAACTGTTCTTGAAATGTCCAGGAAGAGTGTATAGGGCACAGTAAATAGTAGGTCCTTAGCTGATATTTTATGATAAAAATCATGGTACTACTTCTGCAGCAGAGAATATTAAATTATTAGCCTTTACCTGCAATCCTAGAGTAGTATGTCATACATAAGTTGATGAAATCACGAAATGGTATTTCATCTTGTGGCACTGTGATTTTAAGTGTTTCTGCATGCAAGTGTTCCCTGTTCATTTCTGAACTATGTTGGTTTTTCTCGATATTAATAGTTGGAATTGTGTTAAGGCCATCCAGATGTATTAATACTTACAGATTACAGGTTATAGATAAGAGAAAATTCTGTCTCTATTCTCAGATTTCAGTTCAGAATTAAATATAGTATTTTAAAGGTCTTTTATGTAAAAGTTTAAATTGCTTTAGAAAACATACAAATTCCAAATGCAAGGTCCTATTTCATTTTCAACGACTTTATTGAGAACATTTTGCAAATTAGATTTTACAATTTAACATTTTACAATTAGAAATTTTATCTGCTACTACATAAGTTGCAAACTTTTCAAAACACTACAGAAAATCCTTTATTTCTTTGGATTTTTCTGTTCCATGCTGAGCTCCTGAGATATATTTTTTCTTTCAGCTTCATTTTCATCTTCCTGTGAAATAAATTTTAGAAAACATTAAAATATAAACTTTAGGGCATTTTTATCAGCTGTACTTAATACATTTTAATTCTATTCTCTGAAGAATTAGCTATTGTGATTCTGGTAATCCTGGAAAAAAGGCTAGAAACAATATGGTAAAATTATGTAACATTTAAATGTTTACAGTGGGTTTTCTTTTACACTACACATTGACTGAAGTTTTCTATATGTTTTTAAAAGCAACTTATTTTATTAATGACCTAAAAATTACTTTTGAAAACACTTGCCCGTAAAAAGTGTCCTTTTTAGGAGGTGAATCAGGTATTTTTACTTCACTGTTTGATAAAAATAAATTTAACTTCTGAGACACTTTATGTGTTCCAGCATGGTGTTTTTGTCTCATCTAGCATGCTTTCTTGACATGTCTGCCAATTTTCCAATTACTTGTACCACCATATGTTATCTGAAGATCAGTCAGCTCTAAAATAGGAAACATGGGCATGTCAGGCTATCGAATGCTTACAATCTTCTACAGTTTCAATTCTAAGTGGTGGCTTCATAATTCACAGCAGGTTCCTGTGGAACATGGTGAATAAATGAAGTGACTTCATAATGTCGGTCTCCATAGGAATGAAGTGCATCTTGTGTTCAATATTATGGTGACCTCCAAAGTATAAATAATGAAGAGTCTGGAGAAGTATTTCATCTTAGAATTTGTAACCCATTTCATCATCTATGTTCCTTCAACAATACCAAGTATAAAGCAGTCTTGCTTTCCTAATATTTCTAATTTGAGATCTTTCATTTTTATTAACTGAAGTTAAGCATTGTCTCTTCTATTGAATTAAAGCATGAGTAGCAATTTAAGTATCTCTAGACAACAACAATATCAGTATCACCAAATACATCGCCCTCTATCTCTGAATCATATAAAACCAAATTCAATTCAATTAAATAATTGAGCTCTGTTTAGTAAATTAACGTTATTAAGTAAATGCAAATCAAGGCATATATATTTGTTTCCCATGAAAAACCACATCCTTGCCTGTAAACATTAAGGTGGAGAAAGCTTCCTTTATACACTTGGTCTCTCCCAAAGTTCACCAGCATCTGTGATTTAGACTTTGTCAATACCAGAAAAGTGGAGAAATTATCAATATTATCATCCAACATGGGCCATTTATAAATATGTGGCATAGAAGAGATGGGGTTTTGAGTATCATTTGGCAATGCAATTTTAACATATTTTTCTAAGTATAATAGCCACTGTATGTTGTTTCATTTTTTTTTTTTTCCAATTTATCTCTTTTGAACAGAGATACTATGTTCAATTGACTCTTGAACAGGTAGTTTCCACTTTTGGACAAGAGTTTCTAGAGATTACATTTTGATTAGATCCCAATAAAAACCAAATCTTGCTCTATAGTTTCCACTGTAGTCTTTGGGTGAGACACTGACAGGAAGTGTTAAATCAGCAGGTAAAGGTGGCAAGAATTTTTTGCTAGGTAGCACTGAATTTATAAGTTCCTCAAGGCAGGGCTTTATTTATTTTTTTTATTATACTCTTACTGTCAACAGGGCACATTTAGTATATAGTTGGAGTACAATAAATGATTTCTGAATTATGTGAAACAGTGGGATAAAAAATGAATAAAAGAGAAGTCTGCCTAAACTAATGTAACTTGGAAAAGCGTAATATTCTTCCTTATCCAAGAGTCACACTTCTAAAAATCTTACACTTTCCAGGACAGTACTAAAAACAAAAATGTTTGAAGCAACATTAGCCAAAATGGCCATTATCAAGCTCATATGCTTTAATCTGAAGGACAGGACTGGAACCTTTATCATGTGGACAGTCGAAGTCCCCACACTGATATGACGTACTGGTTTCATGAGCTTGGTTCTCTCACTTTCCCCAGCAGCCTTCAATAATACTCTAAGTCAGAATGGAAATGTAAAGGCTTAATAATAATAGGAAGCATCTATAAACTTTACTTGCATATTTAACTAAAATTCTTGTAATGCCAGTCTTTTTGTTGAATTTTTCTTAGTAATAAAGTATATACAGTTGACCCTTGAACAACACAGGATTGAACTATGCAGGTGCACTTATACACAAATATTTTTCAATAAATACAGTACAGTACTGTAAATGTATTTTCTCTTCCTTCTGATTTTCTCAACATCTCTAGCTTACTTTATAAGAATATAGTATATCATACGCATAACAAAATATGTGTTAATCAACTCTTTATGTTACCACTAAGGCTTCTGGTCAGTGGTAGGCTGTTAGTTAAATTTTGGGTGAGTCAAAAGTCACATGCAGGTTGTTGGCACCCCTAACCCCACTGCATTATTCAAGGTTCAACTGCTTAATTTATAAATACGTGTCTCTTGTAACATTGCCGCCTGTTCAGGACAGGTGAAGAACTGTTCCACATTTTTCTTTATGCTGAAGACATGTCTTACAATATCTTGCCTTTCTATGCCTTTAAACCATTGCCATAGGTAATAAGATCCAATCTCTTTTTTCCCTTGTACAGGATAACTGTGATTTGGACGAGAAAAAGGTTTATGAAGGGGAGGAAAAGGCATTTAACCCTAACTGCTAAAGTATAAACACACTGTAATTGCTATAGTAGATCATCAGAAAAATGAAAATAACAGTAACAGATTTTATCATTATAAATAAAAACATTAGAATTAGACATAATCAAGCTCCAGAAAGGATTTTAGAGGTTGCTTTGCTTTTGTTTTGTTTTTTTGGTTTTTTTGGAAGTGCTAATTTGTGTTTCTAACATTACAGGTCAATTTGAGAATTTTATAAGCAATTAAGATTAATAAAATCATAAAAATAGCTCAGGCAGCAAAACAAATATTGACAAATGATTGCATAATGAATGAAACTGCAAAGACGGGAACCTTTTATCAAAGTATTTCTTCACTACTAGATATTAAGGGCAGGCAAAAATTTCTTCTGATAAATGGCAGGTTTTTGTTACTCTGTGCTGAGGTAAGACATCTGTTTGTTTCCCAGTGAAAGAAGACCCTTGCTACATGGATCATTTTCTTAGTGACAGTCCTGACAATTTTGACATTTGTTTCATGAAGTGTTCTGAAGCAGCCAGCAAGAAAATGTACCCTTTGGGGCCACTGGAAAGTGTAGACAGGTTTACCTCTTAACTTTGAAGCTTGTTAATTCATACTCCAGAAAACATGTTGTTTGTAACAATCTTGCAGACCTGCTAGTTACATGTGGAATTTCAAGAATACCCACTCACAAAACAACTACTCCTAACTCCAAATAACTAAGGTGGTTCTTTAGCCTTCTTGCTCTTTTGACAGTGACAGCGTTCTTGTAGTAAGGACAATGATCATTTCTAGGCATATACAGACCATGGGATTATGGTCTAATGCTCTAGGTGGCAATGTAAGACTGTAAGTTATTCTAACAGAGAAATCAGTAAAAACACTACCATTCTTATCTAAACTAAATCCCTCTTATCAATGGATAAAACTTGCAAGATTTTGCTTAAATGCTATTCAAGCTTCCCCCATCAATTGGAACAGAGGCACTCTCAATTTTCCTTATTTACAAAATTGCCTTAGTTCTCATAATAGTTCAAAGAACTGATGCCAATTAATCAAATCTATCCATTCTGCTTTCCCTTTTTCTTAGGAGATAACTCCAAATAAAGGGCAATTATTTTAGCAGCTGGAATTTCTACTGCTTATGTAATATTTGGACTCAAATTAGTCTGTGTACAGATGACTCTGCCTTTACCCTAGAGACAGCCAAATTGTAAATGACTTCTTTCAAAGTAGTATTATACAAGGGGACAACTTTCTCTATTGATTCTTTATACGTTTAAAGATGACTTTGAGTACCTTTATAGTGCAGATAGCTGTCAGATACCGCCATACCCAAGTGATCAAGGTTTACATCACTAGCAATATATATTAACACTAACTTTTTACTCTGATATGCTAAAAAGGGCACAACTCTGGTCTGTGGTATCTTTCCTAAAAATGCATAACCTCAGTCTAATCAAGAGAAAATGCCACATAAACACTCTGTAAAATAATCGAACATTAGTCTTCAAAACTGTCAAGGTCATGAAAGAAAATACAAAGCCTAGACTATCACAGATGGGAGAAGACTAAGGGAACATGATGACTAAAGACAGTGGTGGGATCCTGCACCATAAAAAGGATATTAGTGGGAAAACTGGCAAAATTTAAATATGGTCTATGCACTAGTAAATAGTATTGTCTTGATGTTAATTTCCTGGTTTCAGTAATTTACTTTGGTTAGAGCGCCTGGTAACACTACAGCAAGCTGGATGCAGGGCAAATGGCAATTATCTGTGTATTTTATGCAATTTTTCTATAAGTCTAAAGTTATTTCAAAATAAGATAAAAAAATGGCAACTCAATGAAAGTTTTCTAAATCCAAAATAAGTATCATGTATGTGCAAAGATTTTATGTGGAAAAAAATTTCAAGGCACCTATAGCTGCCTACACTGAAAATATACAACTAAAAGAGTTTGCTTTTCATTGTTCTACTTACAATTCCTTTTGTAATGTTCATAATGGTGTTCTTAATTTTTATTCTCTTGTTTCATGTGTTTTCTTACTTTTCCACTCTGAGCATGGATTATTTTTGCAAACAAAGAATATAAGCTTTCTTTTAATAAATCCCTCTATAATCTGGCCACTTGAACTATTTCCAGAAATAAGTAAGCATAATGGAGGTCATTGTTTACAAAGAGAATGGTTTCAGTTGTCTTTACTTCACTGAATTTGCTATTCATACCAGAAAGATACATGGTAGTAGAACAATAAAATGAAGCAAGAAGGTGCAGCTAAGCACTAACTTATTTCCATTTTCATATATAATCTTTAGATTTTAAATATTCCTTTGGCCAGAGAAGAACTATTGTAGTTAGATTCACATGATCTGTATGCTTATGTTAATATACATAAGCATACAGATAATAAGCATATATATATATACAGCTATGTTTATCTTCAGGCAAAAAACTATGTACACCTAACCTGTTATGTTAGTTATAGAATAGGTGTCGAAAAGCAATATATACTGTTCAAATCTGTGGTCAAAAAAACTTTTTTATTCACTTAAAGCATATTCCAGATATAATTCTCAACAGCATTTAAGATTGTGCTTTTAATACAGAAAATATGCCAGTGCTGCACAATGAGGAAAAAATTTATCTTAATAACTGAAAAACACTGATGATAATGAAAATGTTTTAGGCAAAATGGGCACGCTGCATGCTTCAGGCTAAAATTAATTAGAGTTTTTAATGTTTTACAATTCCACCATAATTCTTTAAATGGTGCATTTACTTCATAGTAATAAACACTTGGATCATTAAGTAAAGTGCAAGATGTGTGTGATGTGCTACATTTAACAACCTTTGGCTTTTTTTTTCTGTACTTCTGCATTCAGTTTTCC